AAACTTATTAGATATGTATTTTATCATATATCCCTCTTGTACATACATTAAAAGGGAAATGTAAGTTAAATAAATACTTAAATGGATTCCTAAAACTTTTCAGGCTTAGAGCCTGATTCCACTGAATCTCTTTTTTTGAATTATCAGAGCTCTGTACCAAGACCACCGTGGAACACTGCTGATCACACAAAACTGGGTTTATTAAACTTGCTGAGCAAGAGAAAACACCCCCTTGATAGAGTCTCAGCAGTGTTTTCAAAAGGGGAGTCAGGGAAGTCCTCAATAGTTGTAAGGTGCTTTGGGAGAGAAGGTAGTGAGAGGGAATAGGTCAGAGTTTGTAATGAGGTGAGGTGCTGGAAGCCAGTGATCTTATCCTGGCACAAATGGGTCAGAACAAGCTGGTGTTAAAACACTTCCAACTTGGTTTGCCGTGCATCTCATGGTTTGCATAATTTGTCTGCTTGGCCAGTCACACCACAGTTTTGCAAGCTGTGGTTTCTATTTTGTTTCTGACCCACTGTCATCAACATCCATGTTTTTCCGCCCAACATCATGCTCTGTGCCTTGAAGAGTGTCTGTGATGCAATGCTTCTTATTATCTCCAGGCCTGCCTTTGCAATAGCTGGCACCCATTCTGAAAATATTAATGCCCAGGCACCTATTAGTATTGACAGCCACATCACAGCTGTGGCCAGGCTGATGATGATTTTGATATGCCTCCTGATTTCAGAAATCATGTGAAATTATGAAAAAATGGTGATCTTAGAATCAAAGAAATGCAGAAATAATTTGATCACAATAAAATCTAATTCTCATCTTGGAGAGTGGGACCAACTCTGTGTTTATAGTCCCATGAAACAACTGGCCAACTGTGGGAGATATGTCAAAAGATGTATCATAAAACTATAGCATAAGAATAATTGTGCCCCTATAGACAGGTCCTTACCCCCCTCTATGAGCCCAAAGGGAGGTTTTTATTGCTTGTTTAGTTCTGATCCTCATAATTTTAGTATTAATTTTGTTTCCTCAACTGAACAACTCACTAATTTTTCAAAGTTTTCTCTACAGAGAAGTATCTGGTTACAGAAGAAATGATCTAAGCCACATAGACAGGAAACGTCCAGTGGGTTTTGCCTATGGAATTGCCATGCCATGGGATGAAACTAGAAAAGATAAAGATACTCAAAGGCACATTTTAAATTGGATCTTTAAAAATAGGATGGATCTGAACTTCGTTCCTTTGTAACTTTGTAAACTAAAAAGGAGCACAATGGCAGCTCTCAAGAAGATAAGTCCAAGAGCAAGCAATCCATCAGGACCCCAACCTTTGGACTCACTGTGATTTCCAAGGAGCAGTGAGTGTATGTGCCCTTCAGTGTGCTGGGTGGGTTTGCAGAGGAAGAGAACTGAAAATCTATTTATAGTATCAATATTAGTATAATATAGTATCAACCTCGAAAAGATTACCCAAAGTGTCACAGGTAGACATAATGGCTGTATCATTTTATGACTTGTGTGAGTCAAGGATGAAATCCCATCCCAGGAAACCCTTTAAAGGTCCCATACAGTGAATAGGTGTTGGGGCTCCATCTCCTCCTAATCCTGAATGGGAATTCACATCAAAATGACACTAAGTCAGAAAACAAGCATAAAGAAACCCAATAAGGATCTGATTTCTCCATGACTATTTTGGTACTTTTTGGGGGGGATATGAAAAATCTGTTTTGTTTTGTTTTTTTAACAAAAGAAATGTGAGCTACCCTGGCAGTGCTAATGTCCCGAACATATGCTTTGTATGCCTGCTGGGTAATCCATACTGGGTGGCATCTTAGTTTGCTTCTGGATCAGGAAATGCTCTTGGCTTTAGACTGTGCAAAATGGAGACATTCAAATAAAACTGTGAACTTTTTTGTGTTCATTTGTAAGCAAAATCCCTCCCCTACCCCTTTCCTAACCCAGTGTCAAATGGGTTGTTTCTTCAAGTACGATTCAGATTTTCTTCACTGCAGATTATTCACCCTGTTGGGTTTCTTTATCTGAAATTATCCTGGGGAACCTTTGTGTTTGAAGTACAAAATGATATGAAAAGTCAAGTTAAAAAAAAAAAAAGGCAAACCTAAAAGCCGAAAGCGGGTGTTGGAAGCAGGAAAATCATTCCTTGAACTCCCCAGGAGTTGATCAAAGAGGCAGCCATAAATTGCAACAAAGGCAGAGATCTACTCTGCTCTGAAAGCCAGCCAGAAACACTGGAAATGTTTCATTATTTATTTCATTAATTCTGTGATAGCAATCTCTACTGACAAGATTTGCAAATCTAATCATTTATTAATGAAACGTGTCTGGTGGATTGTGCCCAAGATCTTCCTTAGGTCTCAGCCTCTGCAGGGCTGAAGCCCTTGGCTAACTGCCAGCTTGCTCTCTTGCCGCGATATGACATTGGGATTTCCAAGGTCCTCGCCAGGGACTCTCTGAGCTCACAGGGACATTCAAAGATGGCTTCCAGGCTCAGCCCTGCTCTAAGGACCAGCAGGATGGCCACTTCACAGCATGAGTATAGCCAACATGGTTACTTCTATTCATAGAAAAACATTCTCTGAGGATCACAACACGGGTGTGCGATTTTAAGTCATGGTGCTGACGGGAACGAATCTTTCAAGCTGTATTTGCATTGTTGCTACTCACCCTGATGCAGAGAAGGCTTAACCTGACTCTTGACTAAGACATTGATTTTTCCTGGAAATTTCACTGTGGTTTCAGATATTTCAAAAATCTCAGCCTGTTTCCTTGGCAACCGTCTAAGCCTTATTCCCTATGAACCAATGTGGCATGATGCATCGGTAAACAGCCAAGCAGCAGTCACCCAACTTGCAGGCTTCCTGAAGATTTCCTGGAAAGCAATCCCTGCCCTGAGCTATTTCTCAGGCACTGTTGTTGATATTCCACAGAGCGCAGCTAAAAAAATAATAAAAGTTCCATAACCATGTGCATGGGGAACAACAGCGTTTATGGAGATAATGAAATGCAGAAATGAAAACCCCTCAGCAAAGCCCCTTTAGATGTGCCTAAGCTCTGTTCATTAATCTGTGATAATTAGACTTATTTGCAGAGGTTAACAGCAGTGGCACATGGTAATTAAGCACTCCCTCTCTACCAGAGGGACCTAAAATGCTTCTCGTATGACGTGTGTCCACTCTTCAGGACATTTTGTGCTTGTTTCACAGCTCACGTTTCCTATAGGAGAAAGGAACTATATTCTATACCACCAGGACCAGACCTTACTTTCTATCATGAGTGGCAACATCAAATTCAAGTTGTAAGCTCTGCAATGAGAGTGACGTAGGGTGAGAATTCTTGTCTCCAAACACTGACTGGCTGTATCACCTTGGGTGAGTTGTTAAATCCTTTTGCCTTAGTTTCCCCATCTGTAAAATGGAGATAAAAATATCTCCATCAGCATGTTGCTGTGACTAATAATGACAACAATGATAATAGCTAACACTCATTGAATGTTTACAATATGCCACGCACTATTCTAAGCCCCTCACCTATACCTGTTAAATCTCATTTTACAAGTGAGGAAATTAGAGCACAATGGACCGAGTACCTTGCCCAAGACTAAAACTTTGGGAGCATATAAGTTCATATACTTTGAGGCATCCAAGTCCCTTGTGAGCAAACTTCCCCAAAATGGACATGGACTCACTATTCTGAAAAATATATTTTCTCTCTCTCCTCTAGAATAAGAATAATATTTATGCACTGAAACAACTTTGTCCTTGGCAACAGTCACCATGTAGGTTTAGGCTAGGCACTGTGGCATAATCCTATCTATGAAGAAATCCATTAATAAAGAATTACTGGAATGCACAAAAGAGATGTTCCGCTTCTCGCCAGTTGTAACAATTGCACTTAATGAGAAAGTATATGCAAAGTTCTTAGTATGGTGCTTTGTGCATACTAAGTGCTCAATAAACAGTGGCTAGCATTATTACAGAACTGAATGTGCGGGAGAGCTGAATAAAGGATGAATCATATTTTTCACTTCACTTATGCACATGACTATGGACATACTCAAGAATGCAGTCATCCCTAAGTTCATACATAGTACAATTTTGATCCATTCCAGTGCCATTTGCAGCATTGAAAAGGAAGAAGAAGGGGCCCCTGGGTGGCTTAGCTGGTTAAGCACCTGCTTTCAGCTCAGGTCATGATCCCAGGTTCCTGGGATCAAGCCCTACATCGGGCTCCCTGCTCAGCAGGGAGTCTGCCTTTCCCTCTCCATCTGCCTCTCCCCCAGCTTTGGCACTCTCGTGCACTCTCTCTCTCTCTCTCTCAAACAAATAAATAAAATCTTTAAAAAAAAAAAAAGGGAAGAAGAAATGAAACTAAACCCCTATCTTATACCATACACAAAAATAAACTCAAAATGGATTCAAGACTTGAATGTAAGACCTTAAACCATAGAACTCCTAGAAGAAAACAATTGGTAAACTCCATGACATTGATCTTGGCAATATTTTTGGGGGGGTTGAAACCAAAACAAAGGCAACCAAAGCAAAAATAAACATGTGGGACTATATCAAACTAAAAAGCTTCCACACATCAAAAGAAGCCATCAGCAAAAGGAAAGGTAAGCTAGGGAATGAGAGGAAATATTTACAAACCACATATCCAATAAGGGGTTAACACCCAAAATATATAAGAAACTCATATAATTCAATGGCAAAACAGAACAAAACAAAACCCACTAACAATCCAGTTAAAAAATGGGCAAAGGACCTGAGAAGATGTTTTTCCAAAGAAGGCATGCAAATGGCCAACAGGTACATGAAAATGTGGGTGACATCACTATCATCATCAGGGAAAGGCAAATCGAGAACACAGAGAAAAGAGAACGCTTGCACACTGCTGGTGGGAACGCAAACTGCTGCGGCCACAATGGAAAACAGTATGGCGTTCCTCAAGAAATTAAAAATAGAACTACCATAGGATCCAGCAATTTCATGTCTGGGTATATCTCCAAAGGAAACAAAATCACTGTCTCAAAGAGATCTCTGTGCTCCCATGTCAGCTGCAGCATTATTCACAATCGTTATTCACAATCGCCAAGGTGGGGAAACAGCCCAAGTGTCAGCCGACCTATGAATGGATAAAGAATATGTGACATATATATATATATATATATATATATATATATATATATATAGTTGAATATTTTTCAGCAGTTAAAAAAAAAGAAATTTTGCCATTTGTGCCATGGATAAAACTGGAGGGCATTAGGCTCAGTGAAATAAGCCAGACAGAGAAAAACAAATACTGCATGGTATCACTTAGCTGTGGAACATAAAAAATAATAATAAAAATTGAACTCATAGAAACAGGGAGAGTAGAATTGTGGTTGCTAGGGTCTGGTGGGGGCTGGTATGGTGCGAGGAACTAACTAAGGAGAGGCTGGTAAAAGGGCACAACTTTCAGTTATAGGATGAATAAGGTCTGAAGATCTAATGTATAACATGATGACTACAGTTGATAAGACTGTATCATATAATTGAAAATTGCTAAGAGAGTAGAATTTAAGGGTGCTCTCCAAAAGAAAGGTAAATATGTTAAGTGATGGATGTGTTAATTAACTTGATGGTGGGAATCACTTCACAATGTCTATGTATAGCCAATCATCATGTTGTACACCTTAAATATATTATAATTTAGTCAATTATACCTCAATAAGTATAGAGAAAAAAAGGAGGAAGAGAAAAAAGAGAAGGAGAGAAAAGAAGGCAGGGAGGGCTTAGGGAGGGAGGATGGGGAATGGGGAAGAGAGGGAGGAAAAGAGACAGAGACAGAGAGAGAGACACAGAGAGAAGAGAGAGACAGAGGAAGAGAGAAAAACAGGAAACATACCTTTAGAAAAGTAACCAAACTTTCCAGTCCTCAAATCTAAGAAAGTGGAATTAAAAAGTCTCAGGTCCTAAGAAGAGGAGAAGGGTTTTTGCTGTATTTAAATTGTTACCAAATCAGAAAGTGGTAACAGAATAATAGCTGCTTTTCCTCAAGACAAGGGTTCATTTTCAACTAATATTCCAGGATAGCCTCACCTTTGTTACCTTTGTTCTTTAGTCATGTCGTGGTTGAAGCCATCCTCATGTTTCTCACGGGCAGTCTAGAATAAGGATCTCCGCAGAGAAATGAAAACCCAAAGCCCAAGCTTGGCTGATTTTCCACACACAGCTGGTACATTCATTAGCAGTTCCTGACTCTTCTCTCTGCACCAGTGTGCAAATGGGCAGCATGGTGCTTGTTTTTGCAAATCCTCTTTTTTACTTTTTTTTTTTTTTTTTGGCTTTTGAAAAACAAGCATTGACACTTCCCACAAAGGAAGAAAATCACTTGCAGCACCAAGGAAAGAATTAAAGGAGCTCTAAGGAACGATCTGGGAAGTTCCACCAGTCCTCATTCACATGGGAAATGGGTCCCACACATTCCTGCCTCAGATGAGAACAGGAGAGCTCCCGTTTACTCTTGGTCCTTACTTCTGTCCTCTGACCTGGATCTCCCCTGCGAAATCAACCTTATTCGGCTTGTGGGTGCTGCCAGTGTTACAGAAAATGGGGCAATGCAGGAGCCAACACAGCCCTGGTTGTTTAAGGGGTTTGGGGGGGGCGGTGAGGAGGTAATTTTCTAAACTGGCAATAAAGAGCATATTTGGGTGGGGTTTTACATTCATGCACAGAAAGGGACACAAGATCTAACTCATTGTTCAGGAGGAGACCTTCCTATGCCACCGTTCTACGGTATTGAATGAACTCAATGGAGCGGAGCTTTCCAAAACCATTCATACATCTCTTCACATTGTCAGATTTCCGGCACATGCATGATTCTTTCCATTTTCCTTTCATTAACTGGGCCAGACCGAATGTGAATTCCAGCCTTTACCTGAGAGCTGACCCGTCTTCTCATTCGATAGTCCCTTTATTTAAGATTCCTTTTCCCCTGGTTTATGACAGCGGATGTGATGATACAGATAAGGTTCTATGTGTGATTATTAAAGTTGTGTGTCTTGTCCTTGAATTAAGAGAATCTAAGCTGAACAACAAAGATTGGAAGAGATAGAGAAAGATTCCTCTTGTTAAAGTAAATTAATTAGTTGGATTTATATGAGGAGACAGAAGGGAGGAAGCCAGGCTGTGTCCCATATTAATAACTCACTTGGGAGAAGCCAGATTGGATTGAAAGCAAAAGAAGGGGGCGGGGGGAGCACTGTGCCAGTTTATAAAAGAAGTAGCCTTGGTTTTCCTCTCTTTGCACTCTATAACCCTTACATCCACAGACACACATCCTCATTCCTGACATGAAAATGATGTCATCTTTCTTTTTGACTCACCAACCAGACTACATTAATCCCCTGCCGCGTGAGGGCCAGCAGGAGGCCACTGAAGGGACTTCAGGCCTGTGAATAAGTGATGACCCAGTGGTTAGGGGCGGCAGCCTAGATACATTCAGGATGCATTAAAGCAATTAGCTGGAAGAGGAGCGAGAGTATAATTTCCAATCCCCAAGAAAGACCAGGCCAGGCTTGGAACAGGGTGAGGAGCTCTACAGCTGAGGGCTGGAAAGAACCACTTAGCAAAACAGCTTCACATGAAAAGGAATGTGGTGTCCATCCCTTGGCCTTACTTGATACTAGTGCCATTTAGGGGGGGGGATTTCAGGATCATGGGAGCCATGCAACACAAAACTTGTGCAAATCAGTGTACTTGAAGCAGCCTTGTCACAGATGAGTCCAAATCATGGCTTGCAACCTGGTGGCCCACTGGGTAGAATCTGGCCCAGGAGTGTTTTTTGCCTGACCTGACTTTGGGCCAATATTTAAAAATCTGGAGACTTCGCAAAACACTGGCAAGTCTGAAAAATGCTGGGCTGGCCTTCCTGTCTGACACCAAGCTGCTCGAGCTGAGGGCAGGCTTTCCTCCTATACCCACCTTGTGCTCTGCACGGGACCACGGGCCTCACCACTCCCCACCACTGTCCTCCTGACCCGCTTCACTCATTTCTTTGACTCCTTTCCTTCTCCATGGACCCCGTAGGCGTTTGAGCCTGTGACATCTACTTTAAATGGCTTCTGAGTTAGGCTCAACCAGAAATAAAAGGTTAGAATCTGGAGTTCCTCAGTGCAGTTTGCTCCTGAAAGGTTGGCCTCTAGCCTTGCATGGGCTAGCCTTGTCCACACTCAGCTCCTTCCGCCCGGTCAGGAAGGGTGGCCCTGAAGTGACCATTAGAACAAAGGGATAACTGAACGGGATTTTAAATTCAGCGACAACCGCAGACTGGGGCAGTATTGACGCCCACCAGAAGAAGCACAGTCAAAAATGTCACAAGTTAAATAAAATGCCAGCCAAAGCATCTCAGAGATCCAGAAAGTGCTTGGCATATTCTGTGACGCGTACTTCACAGAGCAGCGAGATGTGAGAACTAGCCCCTGCCGAGCAGGAACTGGCTAGCCAAGGCCCGCGGCGCAGATTTCTCCGCAGAAGCACTTGCCTCTTTCCATGACGTTCCCCGCTTGCTTAAGTCAGTAGAGCTTTGTCTAGACTGTGTTTCTTGTTCAGCTCAACTTCCCACTGGAAATGTTTAAAGACAAAAGGGCTTCGATGACGTAAGGAAACCAAATCACACATCTTCTAAGAAACTTCCTCCTCCTTCCCACCCTCCTCCGAGCCCTCAGATGCTTTTCTCACTTCTTGCTTTTAATCTCCCTTCTTGTCCTTCGCAACCACTCAGCCCAAATGGGAATGAAGTGCTAAGTGGCTGCCCCCCCCTCCTTCTAGCCGGACCACATCTCTGTGCCCCTGAAAGGCAGCGTCCAGACTGCGATTGGCACCAGAACCCTATGTTGGCAATCCCTTTGCTGAACACTAGAGGACAAGGCATGGTTGTAAAAGGTGGCTGAGAAACCTGTGTGACTAGAGTGCCCCAAAAGAGACTTTAACTGCAGTAGAAAGTACCTGGTACTGGGTCAGAAAATGAATAATTCAAACTTCCCTCACATGCTGAATTAACCTTGACTCATTTCATGCTTCCCTGCCCCCATCACCCCAACTTCTGCTTCTCTCCAGGCTGGAGCTGGCTAGAGTCACTCAGGTGTGCATTTTAGTCCCTCCAGGAAACTTCTTCTGCTCTATTTGGATCACAGAAAGTGAGAGCAGTTGGATAACCGGTGCTCGGCGCCCTGAGGAACGGATGTCATATGGAAGCCTAAAGTGACAGGTCCTTGGGGCACTTGGGTCCTTGGGGTGGAAAATGACCACCAAAAAGGCTTTTCACTAACACTGATAGCCAGAAGCCAAAGCATCTTGGGCTTTAGAAAATGTCCCTCTTCCTAGTTTCACAAACACTTATTCTTTTTAAGATTGTTTTTCTCCATCTCCCTTACTCACATTACCACCATCAGCAACAACAACCTCTTTCTCCCCAGACCCCAAAACCCTCCTGTCTGACTCAACTCCTGGAAGGCCGAAGAAGGAGGGATTCTTACCTGCTTTAAAGTCTCCTCTTCCGTCCCACAGTACAATTACAAATGTGGCGGTCTCTTCTCCCTCACTTCCCATATGGGGAAGCCACACAGGGGAGGACACTCTGAAAGCTTCACTTTGACCTAAATCATCCTCATAGGCCTTTCCCTCTGATGAGCTTGGCGGGAGGAGAGGACCAACAGACATGTGAAAAAATGCTCAACAGCACTCATCAGAGGGAAATGCAAATCAAAACCGAAGGTGAGGTGTCACCTCACACCTGTCAGAAGGGCTAAAATCAACAACGCAAGAAACCACAGGTGCTGGTGAAGTTGTGGAGAGAAGGGAGCCCTTGTGACTGTTGGTGGGAACGCAAGCTGGTGCAGCCATTCTGGAAAACAGCTTGGAGTTTCCTCAGAAAGTTCCAGCTAGAACTACCTTACGGTCCAGTAATTGCACTACTGGATATGTACCCCAAAATACAAAAACACTAATTCAAAAGGATACATGCACCCTGATGTTTATTGCAGCATAATTTACAACAGCCAAACTATGGAAGCAGCCCGAGTGTCCATAGATTGATGAATGGATAAAGAAGAGGTTATATATATACATATATATATTATATATATACACACACACACACACACAATGGAATATTATTCAGCCATAAAAAGAATGAAATCTTGCTATTTGCAACAAAATGGGTGGAGCTACCAAGCAAAATAAGTCAGTCAGAGAAAGACAAATACCATATGCTTTCACTCATATGTGGAATTTAAGAAACAAAACAAATAAGCAAAGGAAAAAAGAAAGAGAGAGAACGAAACAGCAAGAAACAGACTCTTTACTATAGACAACAGACTGATGGTTACCAGAAGGGAGGTGGGTCGGGGAGTGGGGGAAATAGGGGATGGGCATTAAAGAATACCCTTACCAGGACCAAAAAAAATTTTTTTAAAGAAATACTGTGTGTCTTAAAGGATATGGCACTGAAAGAAGATTGTATACTCTCAGACAAAAATACATCTGGGTTTTGCCTTAAGAAGCTTGTACTTTGGGTAAAAACCATTATGATAAAGTAATTTCTGTAAGAATTCTTTCAACACTGTCCAACAGAACTTCTGCAATGATGGAAATGTTCTTTATTTGCATTGTCCAATATGATAGCCACTAGCCCCATGTGACCGTTGAACACTTGAACTGTGGCTAGCGTGACTGAGGACCCTGTGTTTTTTCATTTTCACTTTAATTATTTTAAATTTAAATGGACACATGTGGCTAGTGGCTACTCTATTGGACAGCACAGGACTGGATGGCAAGACATATCCTATTCTCTGTTTCATTTTTTTAAACCAGTCTTAAGTATATCTAACTTCAAACACATCCTCCAGAAACTCTGTCGGTGTTATCAACAATGGGGAAAGAAGGAAGCAAACATTGGATTAAGTGTCCTCTAGGCACCAGGACTGGGAAAGGTGCTTTCACACGTGAACCTCATTTGTGTTTGGTTGAAACCTCACAACTCTGTTATAAATTCTATTGTTCCCATTCTATACCTGAGAAATTCAAGGGGATGAATTTCAATAAATGGCCTAAAGTCACTAGATGAATAGCTGGCGGAAATGGAATCTGAGTCTTTGGATCCTGCCTAATAGTCTTCCCATTTTAAATAAGTGGTGTGATTCCCACTGCTCTCCCCATTTCACAGAGGTGGAAAACAAGTCATTAATTACAAAAGAAAGGCTGTGGGAATGAGTGGTGGCCACAGATGTTTGTGATCTGTAGCTACAAGTTTCCTTCAGATCCAAGCGCATGTTGGCATATCCAGGGAACTTGTACTTCTTGGTGCCAACGGTGTGGCAGGCAGATCTGAAATGACTGGTTCAAAGTCACTCTTACTGCTTCTGAAAGATGTTTGAGACCCGCAGGGAGGAGGAGGTGTTTATGAGGCAAAAGCTATGTCTAGGGACACCTGAGTGGCTCAGTTGGTTGAATGTCTGCCTTTGGCTCAGGTCATAATCTTTTAGGTCCTGGGATCAAGCCCCACATCGGGTTCCCTGCTCAGCGGGGAGTCTGCTTCTCCCTCTGCCTCTGCCCCTCTTCAACCTCACTTCTTGTTGTGTGCTCTCTCAAAAAAAGAAGAAGAAGAAGAAGAAGAAGAAGAAGAAGAAGAAGAAGAAGAAGAAGAAGAAGAAGGAGAAGAAGAAGAAGAAGAAGAAGAAGAACTGTCCAGAGCAAGAAATCAAGACGTTTCCAAATGCAATGGTGTAAGAGTCAGAGAGAAAGCACCCTTCATCCAGAATAGCTCCACACCTTGACTCTGGGAGAAAGTAGGAGAATTACCAAGATTTGGGCAAGTTGACTGAGGTATTTTTTCTCTTCCCAGGCTACAGCCAGAACCCCTGGGTCCAGTACCAACCAGAGGGTAGTGAGGAGAAAGCTTTTCTCTGCTGGTAGCCATCCACCCAGAAGTTTCCTAGAAGGTGATGCTGATTGTAATTAGAGCCTCATCTGGGGGGGTGGGGGGGGAGGTTTTCTCAATTCCCAGTCCTGCAGATGCAGCTGGTGGCTGGGAAGCTGCCGGCTGGCACTCTCTGCAGAGAGAGTCTCAGCTGCTCTTCCCGTCTAGAATCATCACTTGCGGGCGTTTCCCAGGGTAGGGGTTTTGAGTGTGGGGCAGGAGGGAGGACGGTGGCGTTGGCCCTGGAAGGAGGCGATGACCATCACGCAGGTGGCTGTTCACAGCGTGTGTCTGCCCCTAGCCTGGCAGCAGACTGCAGTTACCTCCCCACCCCCCCGCCCCGGTCCCTTGCTGGCTGCTCATTTTCTACACCAATGAGCTCTGAGGTGACAAGTTCAATTCCCAGCTCTGTCAAACCTGCATTTTCTTCCCTGACCTACTTTTCCCACTCTGCAGTGTTTGGAACAATGCCTCTCTCTGTTCCCTGTTTAGACCCATCTTTTGCCTGAGCTGGTGCAGAAACCCAGGCCTCTGCCAGGCTTTTTGCCTTGAATCCCTGACAAGTGTTGATGGGAAAAGAAAAAAAGAAGAAGAAGGAAAAAAAATCCTCTCATAAAACAGAGTTCAGCTCTCCCACAGACGCCCAGATTCAGGAGGGAGTAAATGCTCCTGTGGGTAAGGAAAGAAATCAAAAGGTCATGCTTCTCCATTCACACCTCTCCCCTGCACTCCCTACCCCCCACTCTCACCTCCCAGGCACACCGAGATGCCGCTGAGGTGATGCCAAGAACACTCCTGACCTCATGAACAGCAAAAAAACAGCTGCTGCTGCATTTCCTGGCTCTAACCGAGGCAGGGTCCCCGACTGCTCTCCTCCACATGCCCAGAGAACTCCCCCTTGGGTGAACGGCTCCTGCGAGGAGCAGGGGCAGCCTCTCTCAAAGGCTCTTGAGGACTGTCTGTGTCTCTGACCCCACCACAAGACTTTCCAGGCTTATGGCCACAAGGTGCTATAGAGAGAGTGGCGTGATCGAGGAGGTAGCACATGTGAAGATTCTTTGTGATCTGTAAAGCAAATCTCATCTGCAAGTAAGCGTAGGATAATCTGACACAGGAAGAGGTGAGTGGCAGAGAACAACGATAAAACCATAGCCATCCTTTGTTTACCGATTGCTGTATGCCAAGATTGTTCTGTGTGCTTTCCTATGTACTAAATGCCTACTTGTCCTAAGACCCTACGAGACATGCACTACTATCACCCCTATTTCATAGATGGTGAGGTACAGGGCAGAGGCTAGGATACGCGCCCACAGAGTCTGCTCAAAGCCTGCACCTGTTACCTCCAGCTTGACTCTGCACCTCCAACCCTGCTAACACTACCGTCTTCTGCTAGCTCTCCCCCACTCTCTATCTTCCAGTCCAAGATGGAGACACTGCTATGTCCTTTCTAGCACTGCAGCAACCCTCTCCTCCTGCCCCATCAAAGCCCAGTCAAGACCACTGTGGCCCCGTTCCTCCACATGAGCTTGCAACAACAGGCTCCCCTGGGACACCCTCCCTACCTCAGTTATTCCATGCTTTTTCTCTCCTAAGAGGATCTGGGCAAACCTATTGCAAATGCCACCTTGGGGACAGCTTCTGTGCTGGGCACAGATACGGCCATGCCTGAGCTCACATCCTCCGGTCCCTCCTAGTCTAGGGGAGCACATCTTATCAGCCCTGTTTAGGCAGGTGTCAGAGGATGCATTCCCTTTCCTGTGTGGTCTGCTGCTATGTGAAGACACATTGCTTACAGCTGTAGGATCTACCCTGCCGCTGGGAGAAAATTTGCCCCTGACATCCTAAGGAAAAAACATGGAAAGGAAAGTCCCAGGAACTTGATGATATCATTGAGTTGCAGGGTACTGACCTTGGAGCTGCCAATTTTCAGATCGATCGTTTGATTTAAAAAAAAAAAAAAAAAGCAAAAAAACTTCTAAATTTATATAATTCATCTACCCCTAGTTAGGTCTTCTATTACCTACAGCCCAAAGCTACTGACTGTTAGAGGCACGTAAGAGCGGCCCTCCAGAAAGGATGCTGAGTGCCTCCTTGTTCTCCATGTCAGTCTTGCCCTATCCCGACGTGCACCGCACCTGCTCCCCTCCCCGAGAGGCTCCAGGAAGGATAACCTGGCCCTCCTCCTGCCTGGGTTCCTGGCCTTGGCGATCTCTCCTCCTTCTGCAGGGAATACCCCTCCCCAGATATTCACAGGGCTGCTTTCTTCTCTTCACCCAACTCAAAATCACCTTGACAAAGAAAAGCCCTGCCAGCCACCCAATAACTTCCTAGAAGGTCTCAGGCTGTGTAAGTATCTAAATTGTTTCAAATCTCCCGGCATGGGCGCCTGGGTGGCTCAGTTGGTTGGGCGGCTGCCTTCAGCTCAGGTCGTGGTCCCGGGGTCCCGGGGTCGAGTCCCGCATCAGGCTCCCCCTCATGTTCTCTCTCTCTCATTCTCACTCTCTCAAGTAAATAGATAAATCTTTAAAAAAAAAGAAAAACCTCCCTGCATTCCACAGTGTGCCCATCTGACTCACCTAAAACATCGCCTGGCTCATAGCAAGTGTTCGGACATTGGCGTGCAATCCCCGGCTTCTCCCCTGCTGTGTTTGTTATGGTGTCTGAGAGCGTCCTTCTCCCCCTCCTCCTTCTGCTTTTTTCCCCTCCTTTTCTTCCTTCTTCTCTTCCTTCTCCTTTGAATCCAACTGATGCCCTTTAGCTTCCATCGATGGTACAGATGAGCTCTTTTACAAATTAATCTTCCCAAATTATTAGAATCACTGTCCGTGTTCAAGAGCTGAAATCCCAGTTTGATCATTTCCAGTGAGGCTCGGTTTCTAGGGTATCATTGTAAATGGGGATGCTTTGATGGAACGACAATGTGGGGATGTTTTTAAGCTTCTTGCATTCGTTTCACTATATCATTATGGTGGTTTTCAATCTTTCAGACATTTTAATCTATGCTTAATTATGCTCGTTCCCAGAGGCTCCTTAAAAGCAAATGACACAATTTTTTTAATCAAATAAATAATACACATGAGGCCTACTAAGACTTGATAGAAGCCTGTCTGATCAGCTGAAGAGGATGACTGGGAGGCAGGAGTTTGGCAGAGTCATCACTCACCTTCTGGCGTTTCCAGATACTCAAGAAAAATCTTCAGAGCCCAGGAAGATAGGGTCTGAGCCAACCATGTACCCTAGCTTCTCCTCTCAGCTGGGATGGAACCTGCTGAACCTGATTGCTCTTAGTGATCAGTTTACCATTCAGAAAGGTGACTGTGGTTCATCTTCCTTTCAGAGGAGGCAACATGGAGTCCATCTGGCTGCTTTGAGAAAAGGAGAAAGAGGTTCTGTCATAGTTAGTTTGGCCTGCTATAACACAATACCATAGACTGGTGGCTTAAACAACAAATAGCTTTATCTTACAGTTCTAGGAGAGTCCAAGGACTCTTCCGAGCAGGCTGGGGAATCCAAGATGAAGGCACTAGCAGATTCAATGTCCATTGAGAGCCCTCTTCCTGGTTTTCAGATGGCCACCTTCTCATCATGTCCTCCATGGCCTTTCCTTGATGTGTATACAGTGAAGGGAGAGAGAGAGAGAGAGCTCATTTCTGACCTTCATTTTATAAGGGCATTAATCCCATCATGAGGGCCCTACCCTCATGACCTCATTTACTCCTAATTACTTCCCCAAGGGCTTACCCCATCCCCTTGGGTATTAGGGTTTCAACATATGAATTTGGGCATAGACACAAACATTCAGACCATAGCCGACTCTCCTACTGCTTTGTAATAATGACAAGAGTCAGTGTAAGACTGGGGCATTGGACATCCCTTTCTAGGGCAATCGGGGACCTCTCAGCTTGGGATGGTCATCTGCTGATTTAGCCTGTCCAAACATGCTACACTCTGCACATTTCCCTTGTTGTGAGTAATTTCAGAAGGACTATCAGTTAAGGTCCTTCACCCTTATCCAGCCAAGAGGTTGGCATGGGCCCAAGCTGGGTCAACCCAGATTGTTCTGGAAATTTTAATCTTGAACAGAACAAGGACACAAACTCAAGGTGACCCCAAAACACAGACACTTCCCTAAAGGGAGTGTCCCTTACTTTCTGCTACCTAAATTCTCAGGTGCCCATACTTTCTGATACTTGGTCTTCAGCTTTGGCTCTTAATAAATGACTACTACATATCCTTCAATTAATTGCTTTTCTTCCCCCTGTGAGTTGCCAGGTTAATATCTGCAACTTCACAGTAAAAGGACCCTAAATTATAGACTTTTTAAACAATGAAGCCCAGAGCTCTACACCTGCTCTCACCACTGAGGCCTCAGAATATGTTTATGTTATACATCCTTTACTAACTCTGGTAATCAGTGTGAAGAGGGCCCAAATAATTGGAAAAAAAAAAAATCCCAGGTCACTCTCTCTCTCTGGTTTGCTGTAGAAAACAAAATGGCAGTTGCAAGAAGCTAAGGGGAAAAGAGTCTTTAAAAAAAAAAAACAAAAACTTATCTGTCTTAAAAGCCATGAATGAAATAAAGGAAACAGTGTTCATAACACCTGACTCACATGATTACCATGGGTCAGCCATCAATATGTAGATAGAAAGAAAATAATTGGCATAAGCTCCTTGAAATTTCTGCCTACAGCCTCCCCAAGGAGGCCTTGGGGAGATTCAGACAGCATTTGAACAGCTAGGGCTTAGTAATGAGAACTGACATTCTAGTGTGTAGTACAAAAGACACTTCCCTCTTGGAAGCAGGAAAAATACTTTAATCAGCCAAAAAGTTGCTACTGTAAAAAAAAAAAAAAGAAGAAGAAGAAAAAGAAAAAAAAAAAAAAAAGAAAGAGAGAGGATAAAATAACCCCCCTCATTTATTGTTTCTCTACCATTGCTAGGCCTATCTCCTACTAACTGTACGAGCCCCTGTGCCATCATCTGTGCCTACCTCATTAATGCCATTTGCTCATCGCTATGCCAGAAAACCCAGCTGATTAACAGGAAATCCTGAGCTGAAGGTTGCCTGGGTTTCAAGTTGCGTATGCACACAATTCACACTCCATGTGTTAGGAGCTCCCTCCTTTCCTAAAATCGCTCAGTGAGTCTGGAAAGTGGGAAATCGGCTTTGAATTGTCTCTGGCTCCTCACTGGCCGGTCAAACCCCAGGGTGCCCATGGAATATTTGATTAGTTGTAAACTCAAAACAACCATCACAAAGAAAGATAAAAGGTTAAAACCACAAGCAAGGCACCCCAGAGTGAACAGCCTGAGACACTGGAAAAGGTAAGCTGAGAAAATACTCAGACCCCCTCTAGCAGAAGCTAGAGATAAAACAAAGCATGTTTCATGCCCAAGGCAGAAAATTAAAAATTGAGCAGGTTCCATTCTGAGAGGTGTATGTAAGGTGAGGCCTCCTTCTTCATACCCCACCCCCAGCCCCTGTCATCCTCTCTGGAGTCCAGTCTTACCTGCTGGCATGCTGTGTTTCTCTTTGTCCCCTCGCTTCTAGCTGAGAGAAATACCCCATTACTAACAAGTGTGCTTACAGTGTCATCAACAGACAATATTTTCAAGGCAATAATCACAGAAAACTTTAGTGAGGCACCAGATCCTGAGGGCTTTGGGTGTGCACTTTGGGAATATATGCATGCAGACCCCTTTGTACAAATGACCAAACACATCCTTGAACACATTTTCGGAATCTAAAGGCTGGAACAGGGCCAAGGTCATGCCCCCTTCCTGAGGCCATCCTACATCAATTTACTGGTCCATGTGGGAGATAAAAACCTGGCTCCCTTGCCTGATTTAAGACAGCTCTGAAAATATGTTCCAGCTTCAGAGTGCCCTATTTAAAAAATGGCAGAAAAATGCTGTAACAGCATTGGAGTTCAACATCTCCCTCTGCTCAATCCTGTTCTATTATTCCCTCGACAATGTAGGTCCCAAGAATATTACCCAAATAAAATTATTGCATTAAAATAAAAAATTTTTGAAAGCTGGAATAGACTGAAGTGGTCTTGAAACCTACCCTCCTACTCAGTGACCATAGAAATCCCCTTCGTGATATCTTTAAGAGAGAATCAAATGGCCTTCCAAGAAAACTTCCCAGTGGTTGGGGTTCCACATTCTCACACAGGAGTTAAAAGGAGGTTGTGTGATATTGGGGAGGCCCATCCCTGACACCAGAGTAGATATGGAACATTGTAATGGAATGAACTAACGACCAGAAAAAAAGAACAGCTTCTGGGAGGGGTGAAAGAATGGGATGCAAAGGTATTAAAATGTGATGATCCAGTAAATGTGAGTGTCCAAAAGCTAGCAGAGAAAAACCATCAAATGATACCCTGGCATCCTTTTTCTTACAAAGTTGAGCTATTAAAGGAATACAGTGGGCCATCCTGCCAAGAGTGGTAGAGAAACAACACAGGGAATTTATGATAAAAGACCAAGGAAATGGGCAAGAAAAAAGGAGCTAAGAATACAAGGATACTACAGAGAGAACCATTAAACAAGCATCATGCCCCTGGCTTATCTCCTTTGTACACTGAGCTCCCAAAGGCTTCCAACAGAGCTCAACGCAGTGAAGACTGACACAAAGAGTTTGGTTTGTCACATATCTAGCATGGCAGGGAAAAGTGGAAGAAGAGATTCTGAAACATGGAGTCAGACAATTTCTAGTAGTCAATCAAGATGCTAATTTTTGCAGTGACTGTCTGAGGACATAGTCACCAAACTTTGTGATGATAGCTTAAACGACTCTGGGCAATGTCAAGATGAAGAACAAGGGAGCTGGTGATGAGTTGGTGTAGGTCTTCTTTTGGTGGAAGAACCTCGGTAAAGGAGCTTCAACTGACATCAGAGTATGGATTGTTAAAGTCAACTCTAGACAGGGGACAGGCAATTTGCATAAACATGTTACTTATCCAGGACAAGATATTAGGAAGTGGGTCATCTCCTGAGATTTACCTAGCAAAAACATCTCTAAATGCTCTGCTAGCCAAACTATTATGTTTGTGGCTGCATTTGGCTCTCAGGCAGCCAATTTGCAACCCCCATTCTAAAAGATGGGGCTCTTCCAAGATTGTCTCAAGCAATCACCTGGTGCTACCACTGTTCACACTCACAACAGAAGCAGTCCCACAGCTGCATTCATTTTTATTCCATGTCAGACAATAGCCTCCCACCTACCCCTCTCTGTGTCTTCACTGCCACCATCCCTCTCATCACTTCTGGCAAAGAAAAGTAAGTCAATGCAACTGCCAAATTGAGAGGAAGGAACTGACCAAGTGGAAAAAGAAAAATGTTGGATAACAGTGAGCAAAACAAGAAGGGCAGAGTAAAGACCTTCAAGATTGTTAAGATGTGATATTCCAGCTCTTTATACGAAAGCAGATTTTAGCATCTAAAGATAGCTTCCTCCTTCTTGAAGAAAAGAAAAGCATGAACATCTATTGAATACCTGGACTATGCAAAGCAAATGTCCGGCACTTTACCCAGAGGGGCCCAGAGAATGAGGGGCGGGGGTGGGGCTGGGGCTGTAATCTACCTTCTTCCTCGTAGCCCATACAGACTTTGATTCTCAGGCCACCTACTCTGTACCTGCTCAGCGGGTTGACATTATTTAACAAGGCATGATGCCCATGAAAGCAGGAATGCAGGAACCAAAGGAACAACCTGTGCATTCAGTGTTTGTCACCGATGGCAATACAGATTAAAACTGAGAAAACACAAGCTTAAACTGTGAAAACGTGCATGAGAAACTTACTTCTATTCCCAAAGTTCATAAGCAACGCTTTCCTTGGCTGATGCTGTCCATTCAGTGTTTCTCTGAGGCTCTGATCAAAGGGTTGTCCAGGCACCAAATGGAGATGGAATTGGGAGAAAAGGCAAAAAATTCAAAATCAAAACCAAATGGAGCCATTTCCAATGGGACCACACATTGCAAAGGAAATGGAGGATTTTTTTTTTTTTAAGCAGATAGATCTTCTACTTTGTTTCTCATTCCCTCTACAGAGGAAGGCAACAAGGCCTCCAGTGGTTACGTGATGAGACCAAGTTTATAGGCCAATTATTACTTCAGAGGTCTAAGAAATTGAACTATATAGCATGACTTCTATTTCAAACCTCATCTCCAATTTTTAAAATAATTTTGCCTTATTCCTGAGATTATTTCTGCCTCAGCTTCTCCCTCATTTTACAACCTATCTTCAACTCCTAAAACTCTACACTCATTTATTTGACAAATATGCATCATGCATCTAATGTGTACCAAGCCCTATTCTAGGTGCTGGAGATAAAGTAGACAGGGGTCAGTAGACAGGTAAATAAACAAAGAGCTTATGTTCCAAAGGGAAGATGTTTAGAAGCATTAGTTGGCTAAAAATATCAAATTTATTAATCTCTTTTCATTAAAGTTAATTTTTCCATGAAACTTAAATCATCTTACTCCTTTACAGGACACTAAAAGATGGGGATCTTCCAAGATTGTCTCAAGCAATCACCTGGTGCTACCACTGTTTTTCTTACAGAGAAAGAAGTTAGGATTCCTTAGAAATCAGATCCAAAGACTTACGGGCTCTGATATGTAACAGTATTATTGTTATCACAGTATTAAAAATAAGAATGCTAATGCAGGTCACAGCCATTGCTTGCACCCACTCCATGACCTCTGAATACCAGCCTACTTTAGAATCTGGAAATGTTTGGAGCCCATCACCGAAGGGCACTGGAAGGCTACTAGAGACAGACTAGCAGAAAGGGAAAGGAAAAGAATAGAAGAGACAAGATGGAGAGAAACAGCCAGGAGGGAGAAGGATAACACTAATAAAAAGAGAAACACAGAGAAGGTGGGCCTAGGGAATAAAACAGAGAGAGAGAGCATGTGCATCTGAGTGATAGGACCCATCGAATGATAGGACTGGGTTGAGAAGTTAGAGGCACCTAGAGTACCAAATTTAAGGAGATGCTCACTCTCAAAATCATACAAGTACCTAGACACCTTGCTTTCCCTTCCTAATCCCAGCGTTGGCAC